TTTGGTACGTCCTTTAACATTTTTTCTAGAGAGAGAACAATAATCTAATTATATGTTTGTGACAGATCAGTATTAAGCGAACATTTGAGGCGCACTATGTAATAGAGAAATTGCATTCATCTCTCTGAAAGCCGTCTGCAGAGACCTACTGAAGGTTACTTCTTCCACTATTTGTTTCTGAGGAGGATTCAACCGTTTGAAACATTCATGAGGGTTCAAGTATATGTAGTCCAATCCGAAAGATGGTCCTTTGAAAGGAGGGGCGTTTGAAGTTCTGTGTATCATACGATAAAACTCACCTCACAGTGCCCCCAGTTATTTAAGGTAAAATTAACCTTCTTTTTTTACTGTTAACAAGAAAGATAATTTAAAACCACAAACTTCAAAGGCATGGATCTTCCGTTTTGTCGCGGTGGCACGGGATGGACGCCTCTCGTAAAGCATGCCAGACCGTAGTTCAAAGACCGCAGTTCAAGGACTGGTCTCTCTTGGAAGGACTATTAGTGTGCAGTTACTGTTATGAATTTTTGTAATCACTTTGTGGCTGGTGCTATTGAATTTTCATAAAAACAGTGTCCAAAAGCAGTTTTGTCCGCGACAACGGACATGCGGATCGTACTACACAGAACTATACAAAATAAACGTCTGTTGTTAAGTTACTGGTGTTGTTTTCAACACAGTTATTTGTAAATAGCTCTTGTAGAGCATAAAGGCATGCCCAGTCACTTATGACTGCACAACTTTCCGTCAAGATGGACGTTAACAAATGATAGCTGACCCTATTTGGAACCCGTCGACAACACTTTATCTTCTGCATCTGATAATGAGCAACGTCCATTTGGTTTTGTTGCCACCGCATTGAAGTACCTAACTATATCTACTGATGTGCTATTAGGTGCGCAGTCGATGGACACAGTGTTTTTGTCACAAACTTTCTTATTCTCATTTACAATGGAATACGCATTTACCTGTGAAACAGTCTCACTGTGACCTACGGAGGAATTTCAACGCGTATTCTGGTAGTTGAGCCGTCCGGACTTTTAAATATCTTTTCAACATCATTAAAATAGACTCTGAGGTCATACGTCATGAATCCATAAGCCAATACTAGTTCTAGGTAAACGACATCAGCCAGTAATCGTGAATTCGGACCAAACTGTCGAAATTCTACGAAGAGTAGCTTTTATTTGTAGGTGACACTTACCAAATTGTATTTTCATGGAACGGTGCTACGTATCCTTGAAATGGGTGGCCTCTTGCTGAGGTCTCCTTTGATGGTAACAGCTTAGATTGTTACTAAAACTTCTGCCAATTCTAATTGTACTGGTTACATATTATAGTTACATATTATAGTATAAGCAAGGTAGTGTAGTTTCCGCAGGCGATGCTGATGTGCAGAATACTGGGATACATAACTATCCCGGGATTTTACTACAAATAAAACAAGTGTATTGTGGAGTTGGAAATTGAAGCGTAGTTTGACCAATAACGATGGAAAACCTTACCAGATCCTTTTCATAATGAAAATTGGTCTTTGAATGGTTTTGCTTCTCAGATGCTTCGGTGACGTTTAATACTTATGCAAGAAAAGAACATACTTGGAACCATAGGTTTTTCTAGAAACAAATTCGCTTAATGAGATTTGTCATTTGCACACCTTGTGCCTTATCGTAGAGCGTTAAAACACGAAGTTGTGATTCTGGCCACAGAGCATATTCATAATGATCCTTGTCTTTCAGAAGACAATTTCAGGCCAAATATCTTGGGATCAGAGTATAGTGGTGGTCTAATTCGGAGGGAAGGTCAGCGGAGAAGGCATATATATACATGAGCGGAAAAGCTTAAATTGGTTGCTTCCGCTTAGTTTATCTAAACCGCAAAACAACAATGTGATAATGAGAAGAACCCACCTTAATCCAACTTTGCCGCTACCAGGCAATCGTGACAAAATTTACTTGCTTGATTCACCTATTTTGAAGAGCTTTTCTAAGCCAATCTGGGAAATTTCTTCAATATGAAATGACCTAATCAGCACCAAATCGCATTAACTGACCAGATATACCTCAAGCTTGTTATTAGTATGACAATAATGGGACCATACGAACCGATCTAGTCATGAAAGTGCGTTGTTTAGCCCGAGCTTACCTGAAGGTATTTTGTGGATGTTGTATCCAAGTTGGACGAAATTGGAGGGCCGGCACTCATGGGAGTATATTATTCAGGTTATATATTTTCCTGGTAACGTGATACACTGTTCCTTAATTTTGCTGGCACTTTCGGGTTCTATGTAGAAGTTCAGAATAAAGTTATAAGAATAACGTTCACCAACTGTTATTGGAATATTCAAATATTCATATCATACCACCGCATAAAGGTATCATGTGCGATGGTTCTACACTCATCCGCCGGACGAGGTTATCCAGGTAGCTGTCCTGTAAATTAACCGAAGTGGATATCAGGGGACATTTTAGAAGCAGTTTTCGTCTGACGCTAAACAGTCTCCAACACACTTAGACATGTACTGTGAAGCGCAATTGTTTTGATACCTGTGATGCGTTAGAGAATGGTTTTGCCTTCTGTGTGGCAGGAATTTTCAGCCGTAAGCAGAGTGACGGGAGACATTTTGGACATAAGCTTCTATGGAGTAGCGTGATGTCTCTCCTTACTTTTTTTTATAAAAAAACAGACGATATATATCGTTATAGGATTTAAACGGAAATTTGAGGCCGAATTGTTCAAAAATGCTTGGGTTTTATGCCGAGGAATAAGGATATACGAAGATGTGGTCTGAAGGCAGATTAAGAGAAACGTCCTAGAGGTAAACATTACAGGCCAGGACAGCTTCTGAATTTAGCAGGGTCTCAAGACTGCTCGATGTTTCATGGGGGAAATGGAATTAATATAATGTGCTACTATTGGTGTGCCTAGTTTCTGAGGTACTCATACATTGCTATCACTACCGAACAGTAGGACAGCTTCTTCTGCATCTTTATAATGTTTCATAAAAGACCTGGTATCAGTAAGGTTAAGCACTTGCGATTTAAACGGGCTTTTAATGAGGTCCGGAAGACCTCAGGCACATGAGACATTTTGTCTTACTGGTCTTTACATGTAGGTGGACAAGGATAGAGCGCGTCAACATCCTAAAACTATCAGCGAGTCCGAATACAAATGGAATATATCGTTTGAGTGAAGTTTACTTAGACACATCGTTGATGTAAGCCATTCAGAATTCCGAAAACATACTTCCGTAACCATTATGTATTTCGCAAGGACCGATGACTATTCAGATGAAGCATAGATGTTTTGATTGATGGGATAAGTCGACAGCTATTGGAAAATTATTCACATCTGTTAAATTAGGCTTGCACTGCAATTTTAAAATTGACAAACAGATGGACATTTATAGATATTTCGTAAGCCAAACCGGTGATTCAAGCGTTTATTTATGTCTGCCACCATGGAGTAGGAAAAAATGAAAAAGGCTTCATGGTAAACTCCTGCCTTCAGAGTGATGCTTCCGATGAGGCTAGACTCGGCTAGGTTCGAAACTAGTTTTATCTCATCAAAAGGACTTGTCGAAGCTTTGTACGAAGCTGTAAAATGCCTGGTAGCCAAAATCGACACGTCAATGAATCATAATAGCCATTTTAATGAGCAGCCGACGTGAATAACGATTATGAAACCCAGGGGTAAACTGTCATTCTGTTCCATAGTTTCAGAGTGAGATTAAATGTGGTCCAGCAGGATCATATGTATCCGAAGTTTATGCCATTCTTATCGCATGTAGAAATGCCTGTGATATCTGGAACAGTATAACGCGAATGAATGCAGCTTTCTAAATGATTAAGATAACAGAGATTTGGCCACGGTGTTTTAATTTCATGAGTAGGACTTTAACAACTGTCGTATAAAAACATCAAGTAAACTCAGAGATTTAACGCCATATCACTGCACTGGTTAAGCAAGGATTCACACGAGGTAAGAAGCATTTTTTGGAAGAGGTTATCAAAGGAAAAGTTCGTTATGATTGCACGGTAACGACCTATTGTGCCTAGAGTAGATTTCGGACATATGTTCAGAAGATTAACTCCTTTCATTTTAAATAGCCCAAGGGGACAAAAACCACTTTGCTGTTTGTTATGGTTGTCCAAAACTAACAGGAAGTGCTGAACGTTGCTTTACTGCTGGGGTTTGTTGGTCTTCCCTTTTTGGTTCATTTCGAGTGCACATGACCTGTCAAAATTGAAGATGGGATTGCTTCCGTCTGCTGTGAGTGGTCACACAAATCTATGTCGTTTGACGCTGAACAATCAATCAACGATGAACGGTTGCATTTTTGGCTTTCAAAATTTTGGATCATGATGTATAAGCCACAGAGACCCACCAACATTGTGGTCTCAATATCCGTGATCTGTATCAACGGTAGGGTTTTGGAACAAGCCGTAAATTTAGTCAGAATTTCAAATCATGTCTGCAGGCTTCTTCATAAAGGTAATCTCGAAAACGGTGGATACAGAAATGTGGTACGGATCGGCGATCACATTGGGCGCCTGGCAATCATGTTTAATAAGACCGTGGTCACGCGTGCTAGCGGCGGGTTGCATAAATCATGAAATATTAGTGAATCCAAGTTCCGAATCTTTCACCTGTCTAGCAAGTAAAGAATGAGATCATGTAATTAACGTCTGAGTAAATTATATGCACCACTGTGTGAGAACACTGACTGAAAATTTAGTGCTCCCTAAACCTGGGACTTCGGCACGGGTGAGACGAACAAGAAAGCTTATAGCTTTTAGGTCAGTTCATCGACCAAGTAGCTGTTGAGTATTTTTAAAATGGTAAAAGTGAACAAAAATTTCACTCAAACTACAAAGACCACGTATTTTGGGTTCATTTTTGATTCAAGGTATGCCTGTGTTATTTCTGCAGACAATTTATTGCCAACATTCACTGTTACTTTCTGTGTGCACAACTTACACACGAGAAGATTCTCCAATATGTCATGGGCCGTTGCCGAACTACCACAAATTAAGAGGAACCAGTTTGATGCAATAGCAATAAAGGACATTTCCCTGACTCAGACAAAATTCAACGTTATTGGGATCATTATTAGCAAGCTGCCGTTGAGGAAATTCGTAAAGAATGAGGATGGCAAGAAGCACTCACAAGCAGTGCTAACGTTTACAGTACGAGATAGTCTTTACGACTGGATAAATGGAAGTTTCTGGGGAACGTTTGCAAATGTGAGCACCGTGGCTTCCGGGTTTTCAATTGGTAGGTACAGTGTTTTACCAGTTTTATGTCATCTCAAGGTGACTGCGTTATGGTTGTTGGGGCTCGCGCCAAGAGCAAGGTTGAAGGATCATATGAGGATCAGTTTATGATCAAGACACCAACTGAATACCACCTGACCTTGAGTGATTCTGGTGGGAACGTAACTCATTTTGATTTTCCTGACAAAGTCTATACTGCACGCCTAAAGGTAAGCATTTAATTTGAGCCTTTGGTTGTCGTTATTATGCTAATGAACCCAAGTTGTTCAGGCTGAGATTTGAACGTCTGGCAGACGCGTTACCAGCACTTCATTGCTGATCATTATTTCTGCGTCCTTAATTGAACCAAGCTAACATTGGTTTGATTGTATTCAGCATGAGCAAGCTTCATGAGGAGTTTTCGTATTCACAATCTCTTACCCTTTGGTTAAAGAGGAATCCGTTTCATTTCTTCCATGTCACTCTTTTAACTAGTCTGCCCTGACGGTACCATTCAGTCAGCATCTGAAACTGCATCAAGTGATTCAGTGTGCTCATTCACGTGTGGTTACGCGGAACGTGTTTAATTCTGAACATATTTGGAATCAAGATCTACTGCCGAAGAATATGTTCACGTTTCTCGCTGCCGTGGCTGAGATAGGCCAGCCAAAAGCCATCATCCTCAACAGAAGGCGCCCAACTTTTTCTGATTCATACGAACAGCAGCAATCAGAAAATGTTGCCGAAATGGCCCAGCGTTGCGAACTGATCATTTTTGATGAAACTTGTGCTCGTCTACCTCTGATTCTGTGGAATGAAGAATGGATACACACGGCCTTGTCAGCGTTTATTCCAAACGTGAGTTGGGCGTAGCGATACTTCAGCCAAACTTTCCCTTATGTCGTTTGTTTTGTCAGTTTAGGTTTTTTCGGTGGATGAAAGGGGCTGGATTAATTGGGTGCCGTACGTCATTTAAATCCCTTTTTTTTCACCGTCGTCCAGTCGCTATGGTTCCACTCTTTAAATATTTAAGGCGAAGTCTTGGTCATCATTCTGATATTTAGTGACTCTGTTTGTTTACCAAACCAGGCCATTTATGACAACGCAACGAAGTAAGTCAGTGTTATCACAATGATCTTGCTTCCACTGGCTGTGGTTTGAAAAGAATGTGACATTGTATGTGTCGGTAGGTTGACTATGTGCTGCTATTTTACTGGTTTTGAGGAAATGAGTTGTGTATTCCTAGACTGATGTAGCAGAGTTAATTACAAGTAGATGGAAAAAGCACTCAGACTACAGAGTAATTCCGCTACACATCTACTTCCGGCAAAGTGAAATTGGAGCCACGCAAAATATTTAAGATTCACCTGTCGGGTCTTATGCGATGTAGCTTTTGTAGTTTAGTGGGTGGATAATATGGATAATACGATAATATGAGTAGTCCCGGGGCTTTGAAATAGATTGTCTGTGATCATTGTTGTACAGAGGTCACTCAGTGGAACTGGCCACCAGATACCTCCTTGCATGCACTGAGGGCGTTGAACTCCTCGGCTGTATCGACCTGAAGTGAGAGTTGCTTATTGCGATTACAGGATGTCCAAGTTGATTAAAATATGACTCAGCGGAAGCAACATCTATTATTATCCGTTATTCGAATGTTCCGGTTGGTGCGAAGCGATGTGACAGGTCAAGCCATAAATGGATGTCCGCCCACCAATATAGACTTGCCTTTGTTTGGATTTTGCGCACTACACTGAGCATGTATGCATGGACAATCCCGGACCCCTCCAGAAAATGGTGGATTCAACGGCAAAATTCGTTCAGTTATTGTTGTATGCGAAAAAGATGGGTATAAGATTCATTGAAACCTAGTCATTGAAATAAATGAAGTTAATCGTTCGCCATTGATGATAAGTTTAATTAGTTAACTGAGGGTTATTTCTTTTCACACGTTGACACATTTGAGCTATAAATAGCGTTTTTAAGTCACTACTGTTAAGAGGGAACATTCCCAAAATTTAATTAGAAAAAATAAAGTTCAACAAACCTAACCGTGTCTTGCCTATCATTGATAGCTGGCAGATCCAAGATGGGTACAATCCTATCGAGTCCTATCCTGTTTTTATATGCATAAAATACTACCTAAACTGCTATGGGGACATGACCTGGGCTTGGTTTCTTACCAGTGAAGGTCGCCTGTCTATGGGGAACAGATATAAACGGCTTCCTCTGCTTGATGATCTCCACCTGGACAGCATGACTTGACACACGGCTGTGACTTTAAATCACTATTGTGCACAGACGGATTTGATATGAATCTGACCGAAAAAATTACGGCTGTTGAACAAATTACACTCATTTACAGACCACTTTGGTCTCCCAGGGAGACCTACCAGAGTCCAAGATGAAGCTCCCGTTAAACTGGTAAGCAACCATATGTTGTTGAATTTTGTGAAATTTGATGGGTAATTGCAATAGAAAATTAATAGAAACGTAGGAAATGTGCGTACCTGATGAGCTTCAGGAAGAGAAGAACTGGCCAAGGGCTGTTAAAGGGTTTGCATCAAACATATGAGTAATGTAACACGTCCAATGCCGGGACTACCTATGGCTTAAATTGATATCATCGTGTACAAATGTTCGTTGCCCTTCAAGTATGAACACCCTAGAATTTGATACCTACATCAACCGTAAAAATGACATTTACTGATCACGTCTACCTAGACCGATCCGACTACTTACCAGTAGGAACTAGCGATCTCTCTGCCTCGGGGACATTGCCACACTTCACGTAAATTGTGATTCTTGCCTGTTTAATTGTCTCTTCGTAAGTTGACACACTGTGGGCCACCAGTATTTTACCGTCTATGGCTGTTAGAACTGCCTCCTCTTATTCATCACCAGATCTTATCCACCTGAGTTCACTTTGGGATTGTCCACCGGTATAGTTCGATGTGACGGGCACATCCGATAAAGGATCATCAGCCCACCAATTCTGCAAAAATATGCAGTTTTGTTTACAATTCTTCCAATTTTTCGAGGATACCAAAAATAATGTGTTGTCACTTAAGCGTAAGAGAATTGCTGATTTCATTCCTTAAAGGTTACTATTTTATCAATCGTTGACTGTCCAGTCCGGTACGACGATTACCGCCGTGGAGTTGTGGCTGCGCCGAACTCGAGAACGTTGATCATTGTATCTCCTGAATGCCCGGAGGCCAACCGCTTGAGCCAATATGCAAAGCACATTGGTAGCAGAACTGTCTCCGCGATGGATGTGAGTGATGTTCAGAGCGCAACTTCACAGCCCCGCTTTACTCAACCAATGCCCAGTCTAACGAAATGCCCACCAGCTGAGGTACGTCGCGCTGTTTATATACCTATGTTTTAAGTGACCTCTATATCTTCTTAAGTCTTTGAAGGTAATTCACCCTACTTATGAGATCCCACGGTTTAATCACTTCCTTCGAATGTGGGATGTTGGAAGGACGGATAAGTTTGGAACATCGATTGCATTGGATACGTAACTGAGTGATCCTAGAATGACGAACTCTGCCAATAGATTTGATGAGAAATTCCATGCTAGGTGCTTAACAACTAGTGAGTGGATCATGGAGACCAAAGACTACTAAGGGTAATCAAACGAACGGTTAAATTATCTAGGTCAGGCGGTGGGGAGTCAAAACATCATAGTATGTTTGCTGAACTTCTCCTAGAAACATGATGTAACTTAGGTCAACACAGAAAATGTTCAACATCATCATCAGGTAGGCTATATTCGCTTATGCTTCGGCAAATTAAAAACCACCGCAAACAAGCGCCCGCAAGTGTATTTTCTAGGACAGTCACGTGTTGATATTCTTGAGTACCGTAATTAGTGGTTGTTGTTTCTATTGTTATACCCTTCGACGGATTCCATCCCTGAACCTACCAGCTGCGGTGGTCGATCAGTAGTCTGTTCCATCTTTGCTAGCTGTTACAGGCTTGGGAAGCGAAGAAAAGGTTGGCTGTTTTCGGGCCTCTTACTGCTAGAGACATTTTGTGGGTTAAAAAGTTGTTGGTGTGTAAAAATGATAATCCTTACGATGATCTGCAGAGGCCACTAAGTAAATCCAAGGAAAAACTGTAAGATATTCTGAAAAGCAACCAATCTGGACCAAAACATTCATCAGATCAGACCTCTGGGTGAAAGGCTTGACTAGCTGAAGCACTGTTCAACGATCCTGTATAATAGATGACATTCTTCACCGCTGAAAATTCGTTATCATCATTCAAAATATACCAATTAGGGTTATGTGGACAGCAGCGTTAAGTACCAGCCTAGTTACCAAAAGCTGGAGAACCGGATGTTGCCGGATCAAACAGAACAACGGACGTCTAGTAATTCGAGGCTGTCTTTTAAAACGTACGGTTAATTAATTCCTTATTCCCACAAATAGATACCGAAAAAATCCCAGTTATTTCCACCAAATTACTTGTATTTATACTCAGATTTACTCAGTTCCGCTGACAAGCATCCATAATATCGTGACAGTCCGTGAGTTGAAGGCTGGAAGAAGTAAGTGTGGAGTGTTTCACTCTTAAATTATTGCTCCTTTCATTATGAGTCACATATCTCTCATGAAGTTGACACTGAGTATGCATTTTGAATAAAGACGGCGAAGCATGTGCCGTGTTCTCCAGCGGACTTTTACTCCACTCATTCAGGCTCTTAACATTCACTGCGTGTATGTTGTGCGCGGTGCTTCGAATGTGTCCAACTGGACACACAAATTATCGGCATTATAATCAAGATCTTCATCTATTCCTGGATCCTCATGGATCTTTTCAATTAGATCCTGTTGCAAGTTCCTGTTGTCAGCAGACGTTAATGTGTTTCCAGTGACTGTAAGGAATACCAGTCCGTTTGTGTTCCCATATTTTGATGGGCACATATCCGCGAAGACAACCCTCAATTAAAGTTTTTGGCAAATATTGCTCATTCTTTTTATTCCAGTAGGTGTAGTTACAAAGTGTGAGGGAGAGGAGTCTTGTCTCCATCATTACTTACAGGGACAGAATTAAAACGTAGCCTGTAGACGGGCAGTTTTGTAGGACGACTACAAGGTATTCATGTATGCACATAGTGTATTTAGTGTAATCATGTGCTTGTTGAAGATAACGAAATTCGATACGACTGTTGAAGAAGATTACCAGAGGCCAAAGGGATCACTTGGTGCGTGATTAATGCGTATCTGGTGGTCATTTTCCACAGACTACTTAAATTAACACGCACCGCTCTTCATTAGCCTGGATTCCTTTGATTACAAAGTTACGTAATAAGACGGATGGAAGCGGCAATAATTGGAAATTTTCTGTCACTGAGACACGCAATCTATTTGTTGCTATAATTTAGCCTTTAGAAACCGCCTTTTTTTCCAATGAGGTCAGCCAGGTGTCCTTCATTCTCATGGGGATTTCAGTAGGAAGTTCACCAAGATTCAAAAAGTCTCAAAGTGACAAGCATTCACAATTAATGTTTTACGGTTCACCAAGATTGCTCTCCTGCTTTTTGATGCCGGGTAAATATTGATTTCGAATATCGCAATTACTTTAGACTACTGAAATGCGTTGAGTAGAGAGACTTCTGACTGTCAAGGGCACACATCTGCCACTATGATGCTTCTCGATTTCCCCGACAGTCACAGCTGGGTATGGCATCGTGTTTGCACTGATCACGAAGATTGACTTAGATCGGACAGATATGAACAACTTGGTTACTTTGCAATGTCCCAATTGTCAGCGTAGGATGCTTCCATGTGATCCTCCTGCGGACATCGGGATTTCGGCCCCAGGCAAGCCAGTCCAAGTAGAGGGCATGGATCTTTATGCAATGTGTACTACTCTTGATTGCCCTCTGACTAACCAACGGTTTTGCTGGTCGGACTCACAACACGTAACAGTAAGTTCCCCAATATATTTGGATTGTAAGTCAATGGTGTCTGAGCACTGGTGATGATGATGACGAAAGTAGCCTTGTCACGATACAAAGGGAAGCAAGGATCATACCATAGGTCATTTGTGTTGAAAGAGAGTGCATACTTCTCTACAAAGATTCGGAAAATCTTTCGATACTTGGTAAATATTGGAAATCAATTGCCGTTCTGATTAGAAAGCATTCGCAGATGTGTCTGAAATTTGGGTGGAATATAGTCAATGGTGTATACTATACGGATTCGATCCAGAAAATGAACTGCATATGCTAGTGACTGACGTACTAAAGTTGCTGGGTTACACAAACAAGATATAACTGTTTGAAGACTTGATTATCGCAAATGGTTCTAAATGGTTATAAATTACCTCGGCTTTCAATATGTAGGACTATCAGACCATTTTTAAATAGAAATTTCAACTCAGCTATGATAAAACCTGTTGCATTACTTCTTACTCTTTGCAATTTCAGTTGGACTTTGGTACCATGATTAATCTCTCCGACCACACAGGCACTTACTTTCGAACCCTTCTGGGAGGAGAGGCGATGCGGAAACTGGTTGGTTGCACACCACCGCAGTTTATTCGGCTTACATATAGAGAAAGAGCCCGTCTGAAGTGGAATATATGCCTTCATCGGTATAAGGTATGCCCCGACGTTTTTTAAGGAGTCCCACATTGTATTGTTTTGTCTTTCGATCACTTATTTCATGTTGTTTTATAGGTGAAATTTTGGGGCACGGAGATGTTTTCAGACTAAAGAAGTTTGAGCACTGCTTACCGGTCTGTTTAAAAATGTACTGTGATTCTCTGTGACGGCCAATTCTTCGTCATATTCTGTTCATATAGTGGAAAAATTTATTTTCATTGTCTCGATCATCTAGCACCTTCGACTAATCAGTTCCGGTGGTGCGTTATATTGCACATCGAATATGTGTTTTTACATTCAACTGAAGACACCAGTAGACAGTGGTATCAGTTTCCTCCAAAATTCAACGCCAAAATGATACTTTAGAAAAGAATTTGATCAACAGTGTTTCGTTGACTTACAGCTTGTATATAATGTGGCCGGGATAATAAATTATATTCATATCCGGAATACTTGTCGTACGATGAATCGGGCTGAATGAGCCCTATTTAAGATGGCATTGATGCTTCTGTCCATGAGCTATTGACGTTTGCATCACGTGGAACAGGAGAAAGTTTAATACGCAAAGTCCTAACATCCGATGACTGTTTCATGACCGTTGCAATCAACGATTTTTCTTGTTTGAATAAATAATGCCAGAACGCGTGGATGAATCATATCATGTTTATAGGCTTTTCCCGCTGATATAATGAGATTAAATGTTAGGTTTGCTTGCCTTTTATTACTGAAGGGATGAACAATTTTATGCATTATGGTGATACACTCGTCAGCATGAATGTCCACAGTCCGGTTACAGTTGAACTCGCTCGTAGATTTTCGCAGGGAGGGGGGGGTGTTAAACCAGCCCAATGATTATTCTAACCCCTGTTTTCGTCAACCAATTTGTATCAAAACAATGTATTTATGCAGTTGTGTAGTTTTTCGTTTGAACACAAACCACTCTTAGTACATACAACTAGTGTACCACAATTATTTCAAGGCTTTTGGCGTCTCCTTTATGGTAAGTGCTCTAACTTTGTTCGAGGGAAGTAAAATCTTTACTGCTGGGTGAACCTCATGATTCTTATGTCACCGGTGAAAATAACTCAAGGATCTAATGATCACATAAAAATTGATACTGATATCGTTGTGCTGCAGCAGAGGTTTAAGAAAAACCCTAAATTTGATATAGTTGATTAATTTTTCGGGAACTTTGCCTGACCACGTACGTGAAAGTGTGAAATCAATCGAAAATAAATTAGTAGTGGCCAAATTTGGTTTGAAGAAAAGGTGGCTCCGCACCCAAAACCCATGAAGATTGAGGCGTTATTGCTAGGTCACAGCAGAACTATCTGTCTGGTTTGTTATGTGGAAAATTGACCGAACCAGTGTGATAATTGTTCATTTTCAGGTGCTATAATTTATATAGAATGAATCGAGTGGATAAATAAAACGAGGCCATTCACACTCTAAAAAGGTGATAATTGAAAAAACATCTTGTCTTATCTCCTGTCTCAACTCCTAAATGTCAGTGAAAAGCATGCATTAAAGCTTGGAAACAAGATCAGTAAAACGATCGTAAAATTCGCCGAATTCCTAATTTCTTACGGGTCTAGCGTAAATATGTACTGAATGTATTGAAATGGAATATATATGTATTTATATACATAGAATTGTTATCGTTTTGTGCGGTGAATGACGATTAGCAACTGCAAATGAAAGACAAAATCGCTTATAGTGCAAACACGCTCCCATCATCGCCATCTCATCAATGAAACAGCAGCAACGAAAATTCGGTCCGTGATACCGAACCAACAAAATTTATTTGCAGGCTGTATACACTAGAAACACACAGGGAACATATTAGCATACGCACACTTCTGTCGGTCAAAATATCTCATTCTTTTGAATTCGGAAGGCGCTGGCGCTCAAAAAGGTTATCCAGTCGATTAGGTGAACATACAATTCGTCCTAACAAGCACACGTACGGTCATAGACTTCCCATTATGAAAAGTGTCGGCGTTTCATTATGCCAGTGTTTTGTATTCACCGTGAAAAACGTTGGAAAGTCAAAGGTCTTGAGCATTTGCTTTTACAAAACTCTGCGCGCCAAAGTTAGCCCTATTTCTGACAAACGTTCAAAAACCAAACATGACCAAGACACCATATTTCATGAAACTGGAAACGATTATCAAACAAAATTGCAGCTGCATATCCATCATGTTATGGATTAGATAACACTAGTATAGATAAACGCCAGCTCTCATTTATTGACTGGCAAGTCGACGAAGGTGCAATGATTTCTTTACCAGTGGTTTTCTCATCCATTATCACACAACACTGGCCGTCACTCTAGCTTGACGAAAGTTCGTGGTATGATTGTCCAATTAGGCTTTCTGAGTCCATGAGAATATGCATTACATTAGACGACGCCAACCTACAGATACTGACGATATCTCACGACTTCATTTAAAGGATATTGGTAAGGCCTCCCACTTACTTTCTGCTGACTGAGGAAGAAGGCCTGTCTCAAGAAAACAAATGAATTTGAATTGAGGTATACTTTAGTGAGTGTGCCTAGCGTCATGTGTGTCGATTGCAGTTATCGGCTCGATTCCGAAGTTTGCACCGTTTTACTGTCATCTGCCATCTGTCTTATGACAGTGCCTAGAGCCGTGCTTCAAGGACGCAAACGAACATCCTCAGCTGCTTGAAGTAGTCTTCTTCTGCGTTCCAACACCGACGCTTCATTCTACAGAACTTGTAGGACTGGGATACCGACAAAATTTGTTCATCTCCGGGAAACGCTCATTTCGACAAGTTTTCAGATATTCTATGAAAAAACTGTAAAGGGAGGGCATAGATACTATTGAACTTGAATGCCAAACAAGAGTAATTAAATTTCCGCGTTACTGCAGCAAGCCGAAACATCAAGGCATAGAGATATTTCAGTCGGTTTTTATTAACAGATTTGCAATTCCATTGAAATGTGAAATTTACAGTTCTTTTCCAATTTTCTATCCCCATCCTTCAAAATGCACAGAATTTTCACATGCGGACTACATGCAATTTAGATAAGTCAACGTTATCCTTGTAGCTAAGACACCGTGAAAATTGCATATTTATGCCTACTTAATAATTCATAATTGCGGCTCCACCTACCATGGACGATGGCATTTGAATAGCATTTTCCGGTCAACGGTGTTCAAACCACTGAAAGCCCGCGGATAGCGGAATAGCCGCAGACAGCTTGTGTAGGGCAGAATATGAATTCAAAAAATTCCTCTGAGCACTGGCATAGTATCGCACTACGTTCAATTCCAGGGACTTACTTTGAACTGTGGAACATTTAGTGTGCTAGTGATATGTGAGTTTTTCAAGGCCATGGAATGCAATGTTGGACTTCAGAATTTGCGTGTTCCTCACTGCGCGTGGTTGGAGATGCTGCCAATCGATGTCAGTGGCGACCTTGTGGCCAGTTTCCATCCCGATTGCCTGAATGAGTGTTTGGGGTGTAGGCACCTCGGAATGATTGTGGTAAGCTAGCACTAAGTTCTTTCACCGTCCATATTTATCCCTTTATTCGCAATAAGGCTTTCAAACGGATCATCAGTGTTGAACACTGATGTCATACTATCGATGGTGATGGTGATGACTCAGAGTTTGCGGGTTTATTCCACTGGGAATCTTCAGGACTGTGGATAGCGTGCTAAAAACGTCACAAAAATTCGTACAGCACGCCATTCAGGTTAGTAGGTTTTGTTTTATATTGAGCTTCATACACATGAAGGTAGAAGATAAGCGTGTGATGCTGGAGAATTAGTTGATAGCTCAGAAGATGAAGTTTATGGTTGTATTGAGACTCAGCGAAGAATTCAACCGCGAAAAGACAACTTTTTTGGTAGTGTTTATACTTAGCCTAAGCGATGTGCTGTGGTCATCATCTGTGATTCTACTTCAGATTGTGGAAATTGAGAGCAATTTCCAATCGAATGTATTGCACGAACATTAAGCCCGAGGAACAAGATAACGATTCAAAGTGAGAAAGCACTCAACTAGTTGGTATTTATTTGGCATTTCACCTTCCCATTAGCAGATGGTTATTGAGCTGTGATTTTAATACTGTGACGATTTACGACCTGGTCAAAACAGTTGTGGACGTTCGTACCCGGGCGCTTGTGTCAGCGTGAAAAACCTTGATAGGGTTGGCGAATTTGTCTCGGCAGCCAATCTTCCCTAGGAGGATTCGCCGTGTTCATGGTGGATTCCACAAACGGTTTATAGAGCATGGTCACAAACATAAAAAGTGAATGCAAGCGATGAATGCGAAATAGTAACAGGAGAATATGGGAGAAAAGAGAGAAACGTCTCATTCAAAATCATGCCAAGGACAGTGCCAGTCTGATGAGGTGAATCCCAAAGTATGTAAAAATTTTTGTATGGGAACATGCGTCTAAAGACCAACAACCAAAGAAAGGACAAACAATGGTGAATGCTCTTCAGGGCGCAGTGTGCGTTATCACAGTCAAGACTCGCACATCAGGCACAAAGTGTCCGTCATACTGGGTCTGGTGTGAGATTAAATGGCAAAAATGTACCTTCAACGCCATGTGCCACGCATAAAAGTGTCATAACTACGCAGAGAGCCCACAATGGCAGGCAAACACAAGTCACTGACTGTGACCTTAGGAAGTCCCAGTCCAATAACAGCCTTAGCGGATTGAGGTGAACCAAAAAGTCGATATCACAATCGATGGCATGTAGGGCTGAGATTATGGCGAGGGAATATTCATCAGCACCATACTTCTGCTTCTTCTCATTCCACACTGTCGCTCCACGCCCATCCGAGACTATGCTGACGTCTATTACAGTTGCACGACGATCTCGAACAGCGATTAGGTCAGGTTTGATGGACGACGTAGAAGTAGGGGCTCTCAACTCCTCGAAGACGGTGTACCCCATTCGACGGAGATGTTTTGCAAGTTCCCTTGCAACCCGATTATGACGAGCACATCTGGCATCATGCGTGATCCAGCAGGATTGCAAAATATGCACCAAACTCTCCGGTTGGCCACAGTTTCCACGACATAAGATCGTCTGGCCACCATGACCATGCCGAGCGCTTCTAACTCTCGTCCTAAGCAGGTTGCATCGGAGCTGGATACCCCGGATAAATATCCGTGGAAACACTCATTCTGGGAATACGAGCTATCGATTCGAGAGAGACGAAGTGGCCAACTCTCGTAAACCGCGACCGTCAACGCTGTTGTGCAAACTATCACCCCAAGCAGCCACCAGCTCCTCCTTGGCGTTTACGCATACACCATGGACTCGGATCGGAAGGCTGAGATCCCGAACAATTTTGTCAAACGGGAATCGTTGACCACATTGCGTAGTACTCGGCACTGAGTAGAAAGGAGCTTTTCCATACGCGTTTTCCGCTGCATCGGGATTGTTGCACTCAGACTTGAGATACCAAGTCCCCCATGTTGTTTACCGGCGTGGATGTAGCTGATCGGGGTGTCCTTCGGCAGACGTATCCAGCCACGAATATATTGTCTGATGTAGTGTGTTCCTGTGGACTTGGCCGAGCACGAGTGAATATGTCAGCCTTGGTATCAGGTAGTTCCTCGTGATATCCATTCTTTGATGCGGCTTCAACGGGGCAAAATCTTGGCCACTAACATTTTCCACTTGAAAGTCAGCGACTGATGTGAAGAACAGTATACGAGCCGCAATCTTGTCTATGGCGAACTAGGGGCTGATTCCACGTTGGTTGTACTTATCCGCTATTGTTTGCCGAGATGACGGTCGTCATGATACCAGGTGACGCAGCCTGCGCGTGGTTTGCTGAGTAATTCTCCCACTACTGCCACCCGACCGCAGCAAGGCAACTTACGGATCCCCAGTCGTCCGTCACCCTCCTCTTCCTCTACAAAGCAGACCTGAAGTTACATTCAAAACCTTTCGCTCAAAAATTGAGCACAGAAAGTAAAGAAATTTGATTTCAGGCGTCGATTCTTCCAGCTTGACCAGTCTCGCAGACAGGTGGTCAGATCATGTTGTTTTCTCATTTCGCGGTTGGTTTATGACCACCTGCGTTTGTGCCTGTCCAGACAAATTAAGCAAATCTTCATTTTCTGTTGAAGCTGGTGGGTTGCATGACTCTTACCAACCCTTCCTGGCTTGCTGTGTGGTGTTAAAAAGTAATAAACCCAAGCCGCCAAAATCCCATTTCTGCGGTTTATTGCTTTTCCATCAGCTTTCGTGCACAATGTTCCTTCAGTCTTCAAAGTCTTCTCTGTGACAACGGTGATCCGCACATTATTAGGGTTCTCTGATTTGTCTACTTTATTACTCTTTTTCCTGAAAACGTTTATAACTTTCTAAATGCTACTGGGGTGGTGCTTTCGTCAGGTCTTAGTGGTGGATATCGATGGGACATTCTAAGCCTCAGTCCTGTTTTTGGGTCTAATTTCACCTACAGCAGCCACTTTGATACGTGATTGTATTCCGATCAACTAGCCACCCGGTATCAGCAGCCGATGCGCTATAGCGGGAAGTTCCGACTGAGATTACTGACGCCCCAATTTTCTCATACTCAGTGAATAGGTACCTCCTGGTCCAGGATGTGGAAGTTTTTCCAACGTGGCACACGTTTCAGCGCACACCAGAGTATCAGCTTGGAAGTCAGCACAGTGTTGAGATATCTTTGCCTACAATGATGTGGTAGAATGGATATCCGTCTTCTTCTCGGATGAGACCACGTTGCTGGCTTTATCCACCCACAATAAATCAAGTCTGTGTCATTGAGAACTTTAATGCTGTACACATCATTAGTAAACTTCTATTATTTTCGTTCACTGATCGGATTTCAAATGGATCCAGGATCTTATTCCATTTTGCCCAGTTTCTGAGAGCCCGAGCACTTAAACCACCAAAAGTAACTCACCTGAATATGCGGATCTTGTGGCGGTCGCCCAGTCTGATTAGTGCATCCGCGTCCAGTGTCTCTATCGCGTTTTGTTTTGTTCCACATAGCACAACGTGCATCACGAAACAACATCGTGACATGAAAACTATCCTCGGTCAACAACAGGCTCCGTGTTCTCATTAAGGGCGCAATGTGATTTCACACTATTGTTGTTTTTAACGTTTCACTCGATAAGTGTAAGGACAGAACACGGCCAAACTTCACGACACTCAGACTCGCGCGCGCGCAGGTGGAAGAAGTCAGCCATATTACACAAGTCCACAGACAATTGAGGAACATGTGTAGCAGCTATACTGTGAAGAAAGCACGTTACTGCTGTCTGGACTTTCACCGCGGGACTCTCAAGTGTTTCCTACTGTGCAATAATAATACCGCATTCCAAGTGAATGATTCTTCAATGCTTTTGGAAAGTTTAACAGATTTTAGCTCAAACAGCATTCATCAGGCTACATCCGCACTGTGTCCAAGTCACAGACGAGTTACATAAGAAACACATTCCTGCCAATCGAAGTAGAGTGACAGAACCACTTGAACGGATGTATCCAACAAAAGAACCTCAAATCTGAACAGGTTCCGAAAGGAACAATCAGATTACGTATACGCCTCAACTTTTAACAGATAATTGTGTTAGGGCTATCAGATTACCTATAGAAGCCATGTGAAGCAGTCCAAGTGAACTTAAGAGAACTACCAGCCTAACCGCCCACTAAAAGTACCGCCTACGGTGATGAGCTATTGACAAGCTGGGCGCGGTGAACAGATAAATTATAACCTGAATAACAGCTCGCATCAGTGACCAGTGTGACACCGTAGATATAGCTGACATAGCAGCTACCAATTGCAAGCTGTCGATCCACCCCTGAGTAAACGAATGTGACCAATACCAGTCGTTTGCAACTGATACTTTACGACGAGATCTCCATTCGACTTCGCATTCATAATAATCATCCAAAACTGTCGCAGTCGTCATGAAGTGCAGATCCAGTATTCTAGTTGAATTCTGCTCATCAAAAACGACTCCATGCCGTTCACGGAGACAGTTTCACCGTGGATGCCTTCGACATTTCGACAGTGTATGCGTCTCACGGAAAGTCGCTTAGTTTGTTAAGAAAACCTACTGATTCATTGGTGAAAATCCCATTGTCCTCAACAACCAAGTATACCACTGACTATTTTTTGACACCGGCTTTTTAATAAGAAACAAATTTTGGAAAGGAACAAAAAAAAATTATCTGCAAAAGGGATACGACTGCAAAAATCATCATCCCTTCAAAACCGAGGCTACCTTTGTTGATGGTTCCTATTTTCTCCCTTTATATTACGTTACGATACATTTTCTTCTAAGGACTGCGTAGCAGTCAGATGCTACTTCTTTTGTACTACTAGCCATCGTGGGGAAGATGTTTTTTAATTTCCAGTCTTGTCACACTCTTGGCCCCGGGTGTCTCATTAGATCTCTGATTTACCAGTTGAATTTCCAAGTAGTTTTGTTGTAATTACGACCTGGGGGCATAAGGTTGTTCTGTCTAACCAAATAAAGAAAAAGGTGTAAACAGCCAGTTATTAAAACGAAGTTTTATTTATAGAATAAGCATTTTGATCTATCACGCCATAGCGTTCCGATCAAAACATTTGCCTTGTTGAGTTGTATTGGTAACACCCAAAGGTGGGAGCATGTATTCTTCTTCGTTAGCTCGTGGTACTTTGAATGTTCAACGGGGAAACCTGACGGGCCCTACAGTTGGCTTGGCGAGCAAAACTCATATTTTTGTCCCGAGAATCATGCTGCTTTGTGTCTGGTGCAGTAATTCCCCTTGATTCCTCATGAAACACCAAATATAGGTATGCGTAAATGCGAATTGGAATAGTTGAGTACTAGTACACAATAGGTAGAATAATAGCTTTCAGAAATGGTGAGCAGTCTCACTGTTGCCGTTCTAGATCAGGTTAAATGAAGGAAAAAGGCGAAATTAGTAAGGTTTTTATGAATTCATTTGTCTCTGTAGCTAGAATGGCTTGAGATGACTTGAGAGCGTAGCAGATACCTTAGGTGATACTAAGGGAGGTTTCTTTCTCACGACCTTCACCTGTAGGAGGAGAAATCGCCTGTGGGAGGCCATTTAAAAGGGTATTTGACGTTTGTCACTGATTGTTTTAATAAACAAGCTTAACTACGTGCGGAACAAATGGCTGATTATCATTCAGTTATCGAAACAGTGATCTAAAATTTCACTTCAAAACGTCTGAGAAAAGTCTTATTCCTCGTTGATTACAAGAAAACTTGAATTTTTCGCCCTGCATTTACTTCACTGTGACCATTTCATAACCGAAATGACCACTTTTGTTACACAAATGTGTGGAATCAAAGCCAAACTTTAAGGGTTTAGTTTGTGATCGCTCCCATCAGTTGCAAAGTTGAAGATTTGGCAACCGCATTCCTCATATATGACCAATAAGCCGCATTCGTTTTGCTGCCACTTCCGAATATATTTTTGTTACAGGTGTACTTCTGGTCCGATCAATCGAGTTTTAACAATCCGATTCCCCTACTGACCGTCATTGCTTGTGAAAAACCGAGCTCCTTTGAAGTGATGCACTCATTGCGTAATCAAGCACCGGAAGATTACTGAAAACTGTAACCTGGAAGGGACATTTCTTTTTTATGGTTACTTATCGCCTTCTGTTTTGAATTAGACGTTTTATGGTGACCTTGTTACCGCCTCCTTTGATAACTGGCATTATACTAGTTTATAAGGCAGTTCAACTTTTTACACTTCATGGCCGCCTATATGATAATAACTCGAGAGTGACATCCTAAGAGGGGACACTGCAAAAGGTGGACCACAGCGGATTACCCCATCAGACGAAACGAGGTCTCAGATAAAAATCTACTTACTCACTGTGACGTAAGCTGTAAGTGGCCCAGATGGAGAACAATTTTTCAAGACGATTGGCACCTCTGTATGAGAAGGCGTCACTCGAGGAGCCCGTTGATAATAGATTTTTCTGTGATTTTTCTGTGAATGTAGGATAACTAGCTCTATATCTCGTCCCATTGAGAAACAGCCACACTACTGTTCAGCCAAACGGCTAAGTTTTCAATCATTGAATTGAAGATTGCGGGTCCGAAACTATGAGTTTCGTTAGATGCACACTACTGGCAATTCCTAGCAAGGATGAAAAAGTTGAACAGTGCTTGTCAGCTTTCCAGCAGAGACTGGTCGAACCAATAAGGTGGAGTGTCACTTGACATTAATGTGTAGATCACCTTTCAAGAGAGGCTTTCTTTGCGGTATGAAAACTGTGCCTTAATCTCCTCCGATCGGAGAGAATTTAGAGAGGATGCAGTAAATAAGATGTTGTGGTGGAACTACGTAATGCATTCACGGTAGCATTGATGCAGAGTTCCTACCTATACATTAAGTTGGAAGCACTACGTTTTCCTTGGTTCCCATAAAAAGTGCACCCAGTTTGATGTACATCCTTTTCTGAAATTACTTCATGTGTTTCTGGGTAGGTTAGATAAATGATTCTTTATTGTCTAGATTAGAGGGCTGGTGCAGGCTGATGCCGCACAAATTAAACGCGGCTTGTATTAATGTTTTTGGTTTCAGTTAATGGTACTCCTTGTTCTCATAAGTCAAAAGATGTTCCTGACGGAATAAACGCTGATGAATCGAGTTTCTTGTGAATAAACCGCTGGATCTGTTGTGTTGGTGAAAGCGAATTAAAACATTATTCATATGTGGTCATCTAGTGCGAATATCATGACAGAAGCAAATCCGTAAACAGTGGCATAAGAAAGAGACTGCAGAAGTTTCAAGGTAACCGCTCACTTCTGCCACGCTGTCTACAGGAATTTGAAATGTTGCTCTGCTTGCTTCGAAAGTGAGGAATACTATGTGTTGTACTCTCCTTCCCACTTCATAAAGCAGCCAGGCGTTACATTGAGCCCGCCGAAGTATGAACCAGGTATGGACAATATCTCAGTGTATTAGGACGAAATAAGTGGCGTCTCTGTGTGTTACGTAACGTCCACCAGCCACAACTACACAGTACGACCCGTTGAAAGTTTCTCATGCGCATGGTTGGTTGATTTTGAGGGAATGTCTTTTTTTGGAGCGCTGATGACTTTCCGCCAAAAATTCTAACTTTATGACCACATTTGCTATAAAGGTTTGAGGTATGTTGAGCGCACTAAATTCGAAATATACACTCACTTCCACGGCTTTTCTTGTCTGAAGCTTTGTGGTAATTGCCTGTTCGCTAGTTTTCACTTTGCCCTTGTAACGCAATTGTTGGAAGTAAAGATTTTTTTCATGATCAAACATTAACAATATCAAGAGGAAACATATCATGTCGTTATATCCTGGATATACCGAACACAGAGAGATGAGAATAAATACAGGTCTGTGGTTCGTTTATTCATTTACCTGAGGTTACCCTCCTGAACTTAATTTTACAGCTTTAAAACCCTCCAGGAATAGCCCGGATAAAATCCTCCGTTGCTAATCTGCGTGTTCTTCTCACAGAGTATTCAGTGCAGTAGAACAACCATAGTGTTGTCACTAACCTTCCAAGGTCATTTTCTCTGCACCTCCTGGAAGTTCAGTTGACTGTCCGAGATTCCGCAACAAAGAAGTTAGTCCAGAAATTAGAGTGGATATCATACCGAAAGAAGATTTCTCGTTGATGTTTGACCACTGACCAGATGAACATTGAGAAGTTTGTTGGAAGTTGCACTGTCTGAAGAGTAAGATGTGCTACTTATTTACTCGAGTTTCAAGTAATCTGACCCCATGAGTACGTAGTGGACAGAATTATCCCAGGTAAGTCATTTGCACTATATTTTGCATTTTGTACCTATCAAGATGAATCACTACGTGTCAGCTGGAGAAGGTGCGGAGTTGCAGGCACGAACCGATCAAGCTCAAGTGTCTGTTGATCTGAGTTCCAAAGAACATTGAAGCTCCCGTAGATCAGGTTTATCGTTGTCCAGATGTAAACAATTCGAGATGCTCAAGGGAAATAATGACACCAAACGACTCCTAAATCTACATGTAACCCATACAAAATTTATCGCCAGCAATAAGAATAATGAGCAGATTGTGAAGCGACTGCTCTAAATCCTGGCAGAATACCCGTATCCACATCAGTTGGTCAATTAAGGTAGACATCCAGCGGTCAACGGGGAACCGGATATAGGACGGGAACGAACACGAAAAACTTAAGAGTAAGTATGGTATACAGACACATCCGATAACGGAATCAGGTCCACTAGGCACAAAAGTGAGTTGCGACGTTTCCTTACTTATCGTGAACATCGACCACCGTTACACTCCAATAGGATCCCTCACAACGCACCGACAATGTAAATTCGATTGGTGAGAAAACGTTTGCAACCAAATAGCCCAGCTTAGCGAAGAACCCAACGACCATAGCTATGACGTGTAAAATACAGTTCGGATTCAGAATGTGCCAAAAACGTGGAACTCATTTTAGTCAGACCTTTCGCGTCATCTGAGAAACGATGCAGTTCGAAGCTGTAGTTTGAGTGCGTGTGATCTGCAAGTGTACTACTGTCTTCGTAGGGACAAATCTGGTGGTAGTTCTAGCAGAAGTGGTCGGATAGATTAACGAACCAATTGAACATTCTATCCTTTCTTGATCAAAATCAACTGGAAGGATGTCATCATTATCGATGACGATGGTATTGTTCCGTCAATCACCGAGGGTGAAAGCGGCAAACCTCCTTCGGGACTGGTTCGTGAAAGAAAGTGGTGATAAAATCGTGATATACGTTATATATAAGGATATATGTAAAATCGTGATATACGTTATATATAAGTGATATATGTATATATATATAAGCAATATAAGTTATCTTTGATTTTTCGTGTGTTCTTGGCCAAAAACCCTCAACGTTGCGTAAAATCACTGGCTAATTACTGTTTGACCTCAAATTGGTTTCTCTTCTGTGGTAGTCTCTCTCCTATTCCTCTTAAACTAGGAAAAATTCCACACAGATGATGCTCATCTTAGTTGTACCGTCTTTCTCAACCGTCACCTTTTCTTTGCCCGTCTTTTGGTTCGTCCACGCGAGAAAATGGACAGAGCGCTCCTTTTTCCTTTCTGTGACACAATCAAGTCCTTATTTTTTCAGTTCTTTTCACTATCACCTATCCATTCCTACTTGATGTCATGAGGGACACTGCAGCGACAAAAATCTGGAACATCTGCCTTCAGGTTGCTTGCGTAAAATTGCTGTGGGCACCAAAGAGGTTCATCGATCTGGGATTTTCTTCAAACGCAACAAAGAACAAGACATGATTTTGGAAAGCAACACCTTCAGCCAAACTCCTAACTCGCAAAAATTAGGTGCCGTACAACTATTTTCAAGAGTTGTTGGCGAAAATTTACCAAATGTTTAAATTTTAGGAATCTGTGTTCTGTAATCCTTATATGAAAACAATATTTCTACTCTGAATTTGTATATGAAAGACACCTGTCTATGTCAGAGCAAACGCGGGAGAAACGAAACAGATGCGTGGGCTGATATAACGAGTAATCTGTCGGTAAGACAGATTTGGAAAATTTCGAATCCATTCATGAAAAATGCAGGCACATGTATATCAGTCATCAATCAAGTACATCAATCATTGTCAAATTCATCTCATAATCATTCAGCTTGGTTGATAATAACTTTTCTTCGAAAAAACTGCCATCATTGCTGTGTAACATTTTAGAAACTGTCTTCTCGCAGCTCTGGGCGTTATCTCTATTATGCTTCATTTTTGAAGCAAGGTAGGCCGTCTATCAAAAGTAATGGATTCGCCTGTGACTCGAAAGTTTTATGCCAGGAAGAGAGTTTGCAAAACCACCTGTCCATTGTAAGCGTGTGGTCTAAGCTTTCTTAAAAATAATGTATCCTTGTGAAATTAATGTATTTGTGGACATCTATGAATGTGCCTTGTCATGGCTGGTGTTGCCCGTACAAAAGTGAATTTTACCGCTTTCAAGACTTGTTTGATCTATCCTCCCGTGGACAAGCGTAGCCTACCCAGGTGCGAAGCACCGCCTGATGTAATTTCCTTTTAGATCTCAAGTGCCAGAATATAGTTGATTATAAAACCTCCCTAGTAAACCGAACGCATTCTTCTCGAATAATCGTGCTCTTTGCAACAAATGATTCACACAATTCATAAAACAAAAATTAGCTATGCTAGTGAAATCTGTCGTTTTTCACCGTTACTACAAAGTGTCTATTTTAAGATGCGACGTCTATTGTAAAGAAGTAACTTGGAGTGGTTGAGCTCTCAAACTGGCACCTGAAAAATCACTCGACATGTTTGACAAGTGTAAACATGGAGCGAAATAAAGCTTCCACTCCCACTATGTTTCACGAAACTATGGCATCGAGAAGAATCCTGGTACAAATGATTTGATGCAAGTTGAATACACAACAGTGGAGAGTTTTGACATCAGAAATTGTTCCTTTAGGGTCTGAGAGAATGACTGATTTCGTAAATGGTGGATGAGCCAGGATTGATACTGTCCATAAAATGAGACAGCGTGCTTTGAAAATCCTCAGCACCTAAAATCCTCAATGGCAAAACTAAGTTTTATCATTCACTTATTGTGATTTAAGGAAATTTGGTGATTTTGTCCTGTCAAATTGGGCCAAGTTGTTCTAAGAAACACTACAGCTGTTCCAACTTTGTGGAGAAACACACCATCTTCATGTTACTAAACTCAGGGAGTTACGAACCTGAAATCTTCAGGGTAGAGGTGAAACACTTAACAGTTTGACCACAAGAAACAGATCAGCAGTGCGATTAGCTATCTTTCTGGCACGTTATAGCTCCACTCGACCTTTAGCCATGGTACCCATATCACATGGTCTTTTTTTTTGACTGGTTCCTCTTCTAAGGATGTTTCACGCACATCGTGAAATTATTTTCCTTGTGAGCTATTTACTGATTGATGATATTGACATGTTATCGCACCTGTTCTGTCTATTTGTGATTCATTAGGCACCATTATGCGGTTGACGTGGCAGTTCTTTCACTTAGTTGCGCAGCTTCTTGAATCGCGAAACAAAAGTCGTAAATAGCAACAAGGTTTAAGCGAACTTCAGGTGATTTATTTCCAGCTACCTACGAGCGAAATACATTGTGGTTCACTACCTGTATGGACAATGTATTATCGTTTATTTTTGAGAAGCATGTTCGCAAGCATAAGAAATAAATGCAAACGATGGATGTGGAATGGTTACAGGACAATATTGGTTGAAAACGAAAATTTTCCCATTTGAGGTCATGCAGCCAACAGTTACGGTCAGACAAGATAAATCCCAACATATGCATGAATGCTTGATATAGAAACACGCCTTCAAAGACCAAAACCCGAAGAGAGGGCAATGCCAAATGCCGTTCAAGGAGCGGTAAGACAGTGAAGACTGGCACATCGGGCAAAATTGTCCATCACACTTGGTCCGGTGTGAGATTTATCGGCAATAAATGTACACTCAACGCTATGTACCACGCATAAAAATGTCGTAAGTATGCAGAGAGCTCACAATGACAGGAAAACACAAGCCACTGGCTATGATCTTAGGAAGTCCCAGCTCGATAACAGCCATAGCAGTTTGAGAAATGCAGGTCTCTCATTAAGAAATGATCATCGGTTTGTGTACCAAAAAGTCGATATCACAACCAATTGTAAGTAAAATTGAGATTATGGCGAGTGAATATGCATCAGCACCATATTTCTTCTTCCTCTCGTTTCGCACTCCGTGCCCATCTGAGACTACGCTTACGTCTATCACAGTTGCTCAGCGTTCCCAAGCCAACCGGGCGGCCAGTACAACCTACCCCTTCATACTCCTTTCCTCAAGAAGAAAATGTGTTTATCGGTAATAAATCTGACACAATTATTTTTTGTTTTGAGGTATACAGCCAGATACATTATCAATATCTGCTGGTAGGGTTTTTAAAAATACACACGAAAGGTTTAGGGTAGAGGCTTTCAATGCTTTATGCGGAAAACCAATTTTACAGTTAGATTCTATATCGTATTATTTCACCACCTCGTTTTCTTGACATTCAGTGAAAAATACATTTTCCTGAGTTTTAATGGTGCACACAAACGCGAGATTTTGCCTAAGTTACACCTTTAGCTAATCTGCGAGTTCTGAGCATGCGTGACATCAGTCAATACTGTATTATTCAGACCCCCGGAAGTTACCTGGATCAATCACTGTCTCATTGAGTTATGTAACCACGTTGTGACCTCAAACGGTGCTGACATGATGTAATGTTTACCACTATGTAGATGATCATATTGCACTTTTTCACTATTTCTTGTATGGAACTGAACTTCTTTATTTAGACCTGTGGTGCCCGATACTCATATATCCAAATTTAATAGACAATGTTTGTCAGAATCATTTTAGCTCTATCTATTATGTGTGTTAGCCTCATGCAATTCTATTAGGTTGAAACCGTCAGCTAGTAAGTTGCGATCGGGCAAGTTGGAAACCACAAGAGTTTAATTATTTGGAAACACTGATGATTCAGTAAACGTGTGGCCGAATTCATTATCAACTGCTAAATGCAATCTTTAACACCATCACCATAGAAGGGGCGAAATGGCTCATTGGTTGGAGCGCGAATTTACTGACCAGAAGGTTAGTGGTTCGAAACCAACCCCTGACTCTCGACTTCCCTGTCTAGACTTGGGCAGCCTGGCAGTATCCCAGCCTTCGTGCTTCCTTTGGGTGACATAGCAGCTAGGTACCGATTGATTTTCCTCCGTAGAAAGCAATACCCGGGCGACAAACTGCTGGATATCATCTGAACTGTGCGCGCCAGAAGTGTGTCAGAAGTACAACTAAATTTTACACCACTGGTTTAGTGCATCATCCTCGGGTTCCAGGAAATTCCCTCTACTGGAAGCTATATGGCTGAAGTATGACTTGGAAGTAAAGTCTGACGATTGTGGCTGGATCTTTTTATCACCAACCCCATATAGTATGAGCATTCCGTTGGTTGTATGGTTTGTTTGCAGCTAGTGTGCTTGAAAGTTCAATCTCACGACTATTCAGATGCAGATCTAGTTAAGCCTACAAAGGTTGGATAATTTTTGACAGCGGGACTGAGATGATCACCTCTGATGGCACAAATTGCGCAAACAGGGATCAGTTTGCAAATTAACGAATTCTAGAACTCGTGCATTTCGAGGATAAATAGCACAGAAATAGTAGATATCATGTGAGTAATGAATTCAGGCCAGAGCGAACACATGCAGCAACTAGCCCTCTAAAAGTCAGACTCATGCCAAGTATTCTTTCTTTGCGATTGAACGTTCGAGCTGAACCCTTTGGTTAAGTGTCTTAATACCCCTGCCGTTCTCGATAATCGTTCAGCTGTACACACTTGGTGCCTAGCCACCATGCCACTCGAAGGGGGCACGAGGACGTGGATACTGCCGGCTTGTCCAAGCCTAGACAGGGGAAGTCGAGAGGCGGAGGTCGTGTGTGAACCAGTGGATTTGCGCTCTGACCAATGTGCCAGGTGTCAAACAAAAATGATTTGCACCAGCAGGATTTGGAAGATGGAACTTTTTCTACCAGTATCGAAGAAAGTAACGTAAAGCTAGGCACCACCAGAAAGGCACACACTATTTGGCGAACGTTTTCATCAATAAATAAAGATATCCTTAGCCACTGGTAAAGCTGAGTATTAGGAAGTTTCTTATGGCGGCGTAGAATATCCCGGTTTCCTCCGAGTGTTTGAAGGATACCAATATCATAATTCGGAACAACGGAGGTCGGGTAAGAGATAACTCAGTGATATTTCCTCGTCGAATTCGGACATGTAAGTAGGGAATACTGAAACAAATAGATGCAAGACTTTCTCAGTTAGGATAGATTTCGTGGTGGGATGAAACGTCAAACAGAGTCATGTAGGAGTCAGGTGTCCTATCACTTGATTGGTTAACCATATGAGTACTAGCGCCTGTACTAATCCCTTTGAATACAATCTTAAGATGACAAATCGTGAGGCTGATAGCTACTGAGATGGTTGCGATGTTCTTCCTGATAGATACTTTGTGGTAGACCTAAAAGCCATTGTGATACTCACTCAGTGTCCCGTGTTCATTGAGTGAACCAACATGCATGTAGTAACGGGACATTTTCGTCCCTATAGAAAGCTGGTCTGGAGCGTTTGAAACATTGTTGAGCAACTGTTTTATTGTTCAACCGAGAGAGTTGACTCGACTGAACCCGATAAACGCAGCCCTACACACGGTGTCTTGTACTTCTTATCTGACCAGTAGACAGCTTTTAATAACAAATTATGTCTCTCATGAGATCAATATGCATGTTTGTCACGTAACTTGGAAAAACATCATTTTATTTCGCGACTAAATGATTGGATTCTTTCATTAATTAATGTAGAACCGCCGTGGAATAGGATGACAAGTATTGCTTTGAGGGACCTTCGCTACATTACAAAATCACAGCTAGATGGGAGGTCTCTAAAATTCTCGTAACCGAATTTAAAGTGAAATTTAGGATAGTTGTTGGACGGGACCGTGAGTTCAACCATTGAACTTGAGTATTGACGTAGTCCACCAGACCAGTCGGGCATGTCAGGATTTTCCACTCCTGTTTGAACAAATTATAGTAGTTTCGTCTCTGTCATATCCCAATGAATGCTCTGAAACGCAAGTGATTCGCACAGTTGGTTGGTGGGAATCGCAAACATGTTAAATTGCTATTCACAGATGTACTTCCAACTTTCAGTACTTGTCATACACCAGTAAACCGCGACTTCCTGGCAGGTATGATATGTTTGGTCTAGAAAACGGAACAATTCATCTGGACGGGGAGTAGTTAGATAAGAAAAGGAACCTTACAAATATTGTGAGCTGTCCGAATGTCATGTTTTTGAGATGAGAACCTATAAAGGAACAATGGCTAGCATTGTGTACAGGAATACTCACGGTTCCACTTCTGTCACTCTATGGGTCACTTATAACGGCCTTCATATTGGTGTGCTGCACAAGTGCTTTGCATTAAGAAAAAGGCAAAAAGTACGGTATTATTTTCCTGACTTGGTTTGATGTGCGATTTACCTGCAAAAACAAGATAAGTTTTATTCGACGTCCGTGAGCTGTGAGGCGACTTCACGTGGAAGTTTGGCAAATTCTGATCGTAATACACAGATCCAGTTTGTTTTGCTTGGGTGAAAAAATGAAGCAGCGTACCAGCTTAGTCAAACAATTTCATGTATAAGCTCCAAAAGTTTTAAACAGATCAAGGGATAATGCGCTCTCTCAAGTGCATTCGTGCGGCATGCGCACATATTATTCTATTAATGCTCCGCTAAACAAGTTGAATTTAACGAACATAACTGCATTACAGATGATAGTTAATGTACATGTTACAGCCGCCCACCTCCACAAAGACTCTACTTAATTGCGAAGACTGTGTGTTGATTCGATATCGACTGGACGCTTGTTTAGTCAACTGATGGGATGGGAAACAAGGTTGTGCAACTCCAATGTCCGTACACTGTTATTTGCGCAGGGCTGCGTTTTATTTTGGACTTTCTGAAGCGAGGTTTGGTTAACCAACTATGGCGTTTGATTCGGCGTCATCTCACTTTGGCCTAAAAATAAATACTTTTAATGCTTATCTTCTGTTAGCCTGCAACAGGGATCAGAAATAAAACAACAAGTTTCCAAATGAGTGGGTAAACTTGCGTACTGAACGGATTTAAGCCATGTCGGCTGAATACTATCTACAGGCCAGAACTTAGGGTAATAAAGCTCGAATAGAAAAAAATCTTTACCGTATTTTTTCTTTGAGACGTGCGTCTTAATCAATAATTGCATATTCGTAGACACCAAGAAAACGGTTACTCGGGCTGTTTGCTGTATTTATTGGCGTGCGCAGGGAAAAAACGGATGACGGAGTGGCTGAAAGGGACCGCAGAGCAGTGAGTAATCAGACCGGTTGAACGGTCTATAGATAGATTCCAGCAATCTGTTGGACCACGTCGAGTTACACCCAAAACCCCAAAAGTCAAATCTTTCAAATGGGTTTTATCTACAAATGCGGTACCACAATAATAAAATGATGAAACCTTCCGAACTATGCCGGCTTCTATACACCGGTTTAGGAACTGCTAATTCCTAATGGATCTCGGAGTCCACACCGACTCAAAGGCACGTGTTTACAAGCTAGCGAAACCACGTGTGAACTTAAACAACACGTCCGATGATAAGGTCAAAGAACAGTTTACGTTCAGGTCGAAAACAAGAAGGGTGGTATAGGCACAAAACAAAATAACAAAAAGGGGGGAATCGCGTTGTACAATATAAAAATAGAAAAAAGGAATCAATACGGTCAAGGTTCTGGTGACTGGCTAAGGAGTTATTTTTAGGACATGGAGTCTAGTTCGCATCAAGTCTTACTTTTGTGTATCTCAAAGTATTCCTTTGCAAAAATGAATAAAAATAAACAAAAATACCATACTTCCGTTTCTGTCAACTTCTTTTTCTATTTTCTACCGATTCCAAACAGAAATGAACTACACATTTTGCTGGAAGTCAACTGTTTTGAATTTTTTA